TCTTCATCCCAGGATTTAATCCTTCAAATTCATGAGACAAGAACRTGGAAAGAAGCCACTGGTAGGCAGCTGGGATCTGCCAGGACACTGGGGGGCATGGCCTGCTATTGATAGCTGCAACACTCCACTAGGAGCATGGAGAAGAATCCAGCTTTGCCAGCTGTACCCTGAGCGCTGACACCAGCAGGCAATTCCCCCACTCTGATAACTGCTAACACCAAAACTGGCTTTCTGGGCTTCAGAGGCCAGCCACTTATGCAGCCCCCACCTGCCAGCAGAAGGGAAGAATCTGGATTCCATCGGTTATGAAAATCTGTACTAACATTCACCGGGTGTGGGAACTTCTCCGTGTCCTGAGTCACGAGAAGCTTATTGCAAAGGAGAAGCAGGTGCAGAGGGCACAGGCATTGCTGCTACAGTTGTCATCCTGTGTTCTCAACCAGAAGCTTGATACCCATACAAAAACCATCAGCAGCAGCAGCACTGCTTTACAACAAGAGATCCATGTTAAGTTACCCTGACGTGTAAAAAAGGAGAAGTACAAAAAGATGGATGCATCTGTTCTTTTGTTTAAAAATATGCATTTATTAATGCATTAATTTTTATTAATTTCATAATGCATTTTAATTTATTAAAAGAAAACAAGCCCAGAATAAATAAAATAAAAAGAAAACCAGGAAAGAAGGAGGATGGAAATAAGAACAGAAAGGTTAAAAGTAGAGTGTCACACACATACCACCCCCTCCACTTTCTGGGAATCTAACCTAGAGCACATGCAAGGCAAGTGTCTACCACTGAGTTATACTCATAACTCATCATTTCTTTAAGTACATCTTTTTTGCACAATTTTGGCTTTGGAACCTTATTAATGTTTCACAAACTCAAAAATAACACGTTACTATAATATTAGAAAGTGGACTCCAGCCAGAGGAACCTTGCAGAGGAAAGCAGGAAGGGATACCTGTGAACACATAGTCTCCCCTGGGCCCCTCCCCAGGGCATCCTAGGAATTATCACCAGTTCAACAAGACAGGTATCTTTATTCAATAAATATGTACTAGAATCCTATTGTTAGCCAGCTGCTATTCTAGACTCTGGAAACATACCTGTGACCAGACCCAGAGCCCAAGTCTAGCTAGTCCAATGCAGATATGGCTGCACATTCCGGACGCTTATTTCCTGTAAAGCCACAGAGTATTACCCAGACTTCAATAGCAATCTCCTATTCCGTATGGTACATTGAAAAGGATGTAGCTCCAGTGGTACAGTAGGTGTTAGCTCTGGTGAGTCTCTGGATTCAGTCCCCAGCACCACTGCCCCCCAAAGTTTGAACACAATAGGAGAAAAAGATTTTTTTGTTACAAGAAAGGGTTTAATAAATATCAGGTACAAATCCAATAAGATTGTGTAAGATATACACTGTATGGGACTCAAAATTCTGTCTTCTTGCAACAGTACAAGTTCAGATGAAGGCCTCCCAGCTGGCCCTTGCTAGGTGCTCAAAACATGGACCTTAACATTAGTCTGAGAGTTATATTGTGTGACCTGGGTGCAGAAAGGGTACATTCACTCTCATTTTAAGAACATTTGAGGACAGAGGTGTGTGTCTCCACTCATGAGCAAGGGACACACACACACACACACACACACACACACACACACACACTCCAAGCTGTACTACATTGCTGAGGCTGCACCAGGTCCATAGAACTCAAAGAGCCTGGAACTCAATGGCTTTTCTGGTCTAGCTGCCCTGGGGACCTTGCTCCTGGCCACTGGCGTGGGCAACCGCTAATGCGACCCTAATTGACTCAATGGGCGAGGAAAAGAGGTTTTGGTTTTACTCTGAGGCCAGGTGCCCTCTAAGCGCCCTGATACTGGAGGGAGGAAGGTTTGGACCCAAGACCCCCAGGCCGCGGGAGATGACTCCCGGGGACGACGAAACCCGGGAAACAGGGAGCGCCAGAAGCTGAGTCGCAGTACCCGTGTTTCAAGTTCCTGTCCCAAGGCTTGACAGAAGGACGGTCTCTCTTCCCGCCAGAGTCTGGCAGGTGAGATAGGGACACTTCTCCCGAGGTTAGCACCAGGTGCCTTTGAATGTCCTGTATCTGGGTGATCATCACAGTAAACCAGGAAGGCTAGGATTCGAACTCGGGTTTTTGATGTCAAGTCCTTCCCAGAATGTCCTTTTCTTCAAGAGAGTGATCGTWGGCAGAGAATTCCAAGTGATAAGGCTCTGGCAGGTTTCGGTTTTAGGTTTTTATCTGGAATGGCCTCGCCCCGGTCCACAGCCTTTGGAAGGCGGGAGCCTAACCCTTCTTGTCYAGCGGCCACTGGACGAAGAGGGTAGAGCGCCTGCGCACAGTCCTCACTCCACCCGGGTATGTCAAGTCCTCGGGATCTCTGTGGTGTCGGGTGGTTGGTGGATGTAAATACCCATCAATCAGACAGTAGCCAGCACCTTTCTTGGGGAGGGTAGGAAAGCGTAAATTATCTAGGAAGCCTTGAGATAATGCTTTAATGAGTATTGAAGTACTTGATTCACTAATATTCCTTCTACATAGGTATCCTGAGAAAATAATCTAAAAGATGCAGGGACATAAAGGGACAAAGACTAAGGGCACAAACAAGAAGGCCCAAGAATAAGGCCTTATTTTACAGCAGCMAAAAATTATAGATATTTCCTAAAAGTATAAACACAGTCTGTTATGACCATCCATCAAATAGAATATTAGATTGTTATTTTAAATCATACTCGAAAAAACGAATAAAGTACTTGGRCGTGCTTATGATGTCAATTTAAACATATACAAACTCGCACATAMCCTGTGAGCTTATATATGCAAACGTACAGAAGAAATTGTGCTTAAATGTTATCTCTGAGTGGATTTTATTTTATTTTCAGCTTTTCTCTATAAAGGTCATCATGCACAAGCAGAAAATGACAGAAAATAATCAGAAACATAAAGTAAGATTTAAGTAACTATATGACTGACTCATCGCAACTTTTCAAGCTCTCGCCAGGAGCGGTGGCGCATGCCTGTAATCCCAGGAAGAGGGAGACAGCCTCAGCAACCACCAGGCGCTAAGCTAGTTTTCAGCWAAGCAACTACGTAAAATACAAAATAGGGCTGGGGATGTGGCTCAGTTCAATCCTCGGTCCTCCACCACCACCACCTCCGTAAAAAAAAAATTTTTTTCAAGCTCTCTTAGAACCAAAAAAATAAAAATCTATTGAGAGAGAGAGAGAGGAAAGAAGGAAGGAGAAGGAAGGAAGATTTTTAAAAAATTGTTTTGGAAACATTCAGGACACAGCTTCAAGATATATATTACATGATATCATATATTTTTGCATACACGATTAAATTTGCTGAAATTCTGTGTGAATTTTTTTAAAAGAGAGATAGAATTATTTATTTATTTATTTATTTATTTTTGGTTTTCCACGGACACAACATCTTTGTATGTGGTGCTGAGGATTGAACCCGGGCTGCACGCATGCCAGGCGAGCGCGCTACCGCTTGAGCCACATCCCCAGCCCTGTATGAATTTTTTAAGTGAAATTTTGTGCCGGTTAGCTGGAGGGGAGACAGTTTATCTGTATTTTAGGAAATAATATCCGAATGGCTCTTGCAGCACAGAATTTGCRTAAGAAGGTTTAAGAAACATTGATTCAAAATCCCAAAAACACTCTATTAAGATCACAGCCCTTCAATAAATACTCCTGAGATTGCTGAGCCCACGTCAGGTTTACTTGACACAGGTAACATGATTAAGAGCAGCAGGTGGACATCTTACTAAATTCTCCCAGTCCTCTTTATTTATTATTATTATTATTATTATTATTATTATTTTAATGGAGACAAAGCTTAAAGAGGTTAATTCTTTGCCCGGAAACTCATAGTTATGTTCCAGATCAAGGACTAGCACTCTCTCCATATTCATAACCACTGTCCCACACTGTCTACTTTACTCAGTGCCAGCGTGTCCCAAGAGCTTTTCTGGAAATGGAATACTGCCAAAACTTCACGCCGCTGGGGCGGGTGCCGCGTTTATACCTGCACGCACGGAGCAACCAGCCTTAGGGAGGAGAAAGAGGAGGAAGACAGGCGAAAGGCGAGGTGAACTGCTCTTCCTAGCCTTCTCCAGGGCGGAGGCTATTGTCTTCCTTCCATCTACTCGCGGAGCCCTCCAAGAGCACTGGGCCTCCCTTGGTTGTAGAACCCACACTTCTTTTACACTCCCGGAGTAGTGGTGTGTCTGAGCTCCGTAGACCTGAACTCACATCTAAGCGAGACGTTCCCAGCTCAATGCAGGCGCCGGCGGGTCAAGGCTCACTCCCATTCTGCGCTCTAGGGTGAGCAGCCCGCCGCGGGACCCCCGCCCTGCTCCGGACAAGGCCCCGTGGCGCACCTCAAATCCCGCAGGTGCCTCGCTTTCTTTACCTCAATTTTCCACCACCATAAGAGTGAAGACTGGAGGATACAGATAACKCCAAGGCGGACTGACCCGCTCGGGTTGCACGAAAAGAACTCCACCTCCCACTTCTGTGCACCCTGTAGGAAGGTCCCTGCGCACCCAGGGTTGACTTCGGAAGCTTCGGCTTGTAACACATTGACCGAGATCTGAACTGTGCGCAGCACCATCTCCCTCACATTCTTTGCTTTTGACAACCATCAGTACTAATTAAACCCTCCCAGGACKGCGACTAGGGATGGGGGAGGTTTAGAAGGGCGCGGAAACACTGCGCTTGGGGAGGGAAGGTGCAGGGTTAACCACGTGGTTTCGGCGGGAACCAATGGAGGACCGCAGTCTTCTCACCCGGTCCTGGTTCCCCAGCTTCCAGAGATGGCCAAGAGGAAGRCTCAGTGTGGGACACAGGGTGCAAGTCCCAGAGCATGGGTCTGTCTCTGGGGCCTGCTGAGTCAAGACCAGAAGCTTAGGGCGCAGTGCCCTGCGGGGACCCGGAAATCTTCGACTCCGCCTCTTCCATYTTCGGGATGCTGCTGGGCCGGGTCACCTCCACCCCCTTCTCCGTCAATGACATCCTRCGGCTGGAGCGAGAGCAGAGCGATCACGAAGCCTTGCCACAATGGGGGATGCGGAGGAGCCTGGAAAACTCTCAGYACCTGGGAATGGACTCGGAACCGCGAGGATTAGAGGTTAACAACGCCAGTGATGGGGGCAGCTGCGATAAAGAACGGGAACCTTCTGGGGGACCTTGTGAGGCAGTCATGGAGAAAGACGCGGAACGAGTGGAGGAGCCACGTGAGTAAGCGCTCAGGTCTTCTATCCCGGGGATATTGAGGGAGGGGTTCGTTACCGATCCGAGAAAACTTATCTCCTATTTCCTGGGTCCGAGAATCTCACCTCATTTCCTCTCAATTGGGGAGTCCAAAACACAGGCTCCTCGGTCCCCACTCCTGCCTCTTTCGGACACCCGCTGTGTTTCACGAGCCCTATGAAAATAAGGCTCTGGACCCTAAGGATGCCCACAGCTGCCCCGATGGTGCCCACACACGTATCACTCACAGAGCCACAGTTCCCACAACTTCCAGCTCGGTCACCAGGCAAAATCCTCTAGTCATAGTTGTGCCCCACCACAACCCCTCCCTGCCTGTCCTAAATCGTCTAAGAAAAACAAACAAAAAACCCTGTAGCCAGCAAAGCAGTGGGACCCCCACAGCTCTGGGGCCAACCCTACCCAGTTCTTTCTTAAGGCTTGCTGATGGCCTGGCCAGTCCCCACTCCTCCAAGCGGGAAACGGGAGGTGAGGACCAGCGGTGTCTGCGTCCAACGAAATGGATGGTCCCAAGGGCGCTGGCACATCAGGGAGCATACTGAGAGCAGCTCAGACTGAGAGCAGCTCAGACTTACACTGTTCTGGGAGACGGCCCCTGCCTGCCCAGCCCTGGCGCTTTGGGGTCTGAAGGTGCCGCCACGCCTGGCAGTGAGGACCCTGCGCCTGCAAGCCGCTTGCAAGACAAGAAGGAGCAGGCGGAGAATAGGGTTGCGGTGGCTTCAACGACCCGGGAGGCTTAGGCTCAATATTCCAAGGAGTGAAAAAGCCTCTTTCCTCTCGCCAATCCTGTGTACCTCGGTCGGCATTCCGTTCGCAGATCTGGGATGCCGGGTAGCACCTGCATCACGTTGTGAACCGACACCTGTTAAGGCACAAACTAGCCACAGACTCTCAAGTTGGTTATTCACTGATTCCAGGAGCCTGAGGATTGTTAAACTTTGTCGTGTTCGAGAAGCAGCTGGTGGTTTTTCTGCTGTAGACTCTAAATACTAAATTCCCTCTGCTGCTCTGCCAAATTGACTTTCGCTTCCGTTTGGCTGGAAAAAGATCGAGCTACTGAGATCACCACTGTGTTCTCCCAGCTGCGGGTTCACAGGGTGCATTCCTTAAATGAAAAACTCGGTCTGGGGTCCAAAAACTGAGCCTGGGGCCAGGGCGCCTATGGATCCAGTGAAGGGACTGTGCTGATGGTTTCATGGCCTCTTGCGTCTGCACCAATGTCATCTAATGTTCAGAGACAGAGGACAGGAGAGGCTCTGGTTTGTGACCAGGTGGGCAGAGGGTGCTGGCAGGCGCCTGGGGTGGCTGGCAGCATCTCGGCCTGTATAGTCTTCGACTTTTAAAGGGGGTCTTGTTTGATGTACAACATCGCTGAAGGTCAATTGCATTTTGATTTGTTCAAGGAAAAAAAAATCTCGAAGGTATTCTTCTTTTCCATGTGCTTAGTTTTTCCGAGAGCCAGGCATATGAAGAAAGTTTTTCTTTCCTCCAACTTTTAAATGCAAAACAACCTTATCCCCCACAAGATCCAGGGTATTTCAGGATTGAGGGTTCAGTTCCAACCTGCCTGGCTCTAATTAGGCATGTCCTGCCAGCTTCCCACAAACTTGCACCCCCTTCATGAGCCCTGATTTCTCCTGGGTGAGTTTCTGTGGGTGAGCTTGCACCCACCCTGGGGTAAGACAGGGCTTAAACCAAGACAGGAGAAAGGTGGGAAGAAGGAAGAAAGGGCTGCATTTTGGCAGAGTTCAGGCACAGTGGCACAGTGGGGAGTCTCCAGGAAAGAAAATTTGGGGTAAGGCCAGTGCCACCCGCCTGCCAGAAAGACACCAAAGGAAGAATCTGATGCTTCTGAAAGAAGTCAAATGTGGATCTCAGCAGCATATTTCCCTCAAAGGAAGCTTCTGTTTCAAAGCTAAGGGGTAGTAAGTTCTAAGAAATATTTGGTTTCATTTTGTCAGTTCGAATTAGAGCAATGCATTCATGGGACTCTCCTCTGGTGACCGCCAAATGCTTGATGAAGCCAGCGCCAATTTGAGAGGCACCGCACACTCACACTTGATCCTCCAAGCGAACGTCTCCTCAAACCCGACCATCGTACACATCTTAAGAAAATGATCACATTTAATCGAGTTTATCTTCTGGAAAGTGACATGTACACCGGGGACCACGGACTGTCATAATCTATGTCCTGGAGGGTTCAAAAGTGATAGACTTTAGAGAAAAGGAACATTTGTTCTGGCTCACAACGGGGGTGGCGGGGAAAGGATGCATTAGTGAGGGCTACTAGGGAGGGGGACCTCTCTAGAAGACACTGTAAGAAGTGCTCAGGGACCTGAGTTGACGGTGTTCCTTCCTGTGCTTTTTAGAGCCGGGCCTGGGTGCAGCTTCGCTCCTCCGAGGTGGGAAAAGGGTGCTGGAGCGCAGCGTTGGGAACAGCGGTGGCAGCACGCAACAGCCCAAGACGCGACAGCGGAGGAAGCCCCGTGTTCTGTTCTCACAGGCACAGGTGCTGGCCCTGGAGCGGCGCTTCAAGCAGCAGCGGTACCTGTCGGCGCCAGAACGCGACCACCTGGCCAACGCGCTGCAGCTCACGTCCACACAGGTCAAGATCTGGTTCCAGAACCGCCGCTACAAGTGCAAGAGGCAGCGCCAGGACAAGTCACTGGAACTGGCTGGCCACCCACTAGCGCCTCGCCGAGTGGCAGTACCGGTGCTGGTGCGCGATGGCAAGCCTTGCCTGGGCCCGGGCCAGCCGCCCTTCACCGGCCCCTACGCGGCTGCCGCGACGCCCTTTTCCTGCTACGGTGGTTACGCGAGCGCCCCCTATAGCGCAGGCTACAACGTCGGCTATGCCGGTGCGGGACCCGCGCCACCCACGCCACTGGCCAACTCGGGTTTCAGCCCTGGCGGCCCGAGCGCCACGCCGCAGGGCCATCTGCCCTCCACGATGCAGGGCGTCAGGGCCTGGTGAGGCTCCTCTGCTCCGCTATGCCCACCAGGGCCAGGTGCTGGGTCCCCTCCTCTTCGGGCTGAGAGTCGCGCCGGGTTGAGGGGCCACAGTGGAGGAGGGAAGGGGCCCTTCTGCTGAGATCGATCTCTGGTTCTGCCACTGTGCTGGGGCGCTGGAAAAGGAGACATAACGTCAGGCTTTCTTCAGCCGCCGGTGAAGCTGCACTGAGAACTCTGAAAACCAAGGACGGCCGCAGTTTGGGGCATTGGAGCAGTTCTAGGCAGGTGGCTTTTAAGAGCCTCAATCCTGGGGCGTCCAAGATGATCTTTCATGTTGTGTACGACAGCCTGGAGGTGTGGGAGACAGCGGGAACTCAGTCCTCCAATTAAAGGAATGGGTGTGTTGTGGTGTGGGTGGGGGACTGAGAAAAGAGAAGTGCGRCAAGGGAACGAAGATCGTGTATGAGGAGGATCCAGGAGGTTCCAGAAGAGGGACTATTGCCAAAGTCAAGTCCTCCTGCGGGTTTAAATATCCGGCCCAAGCCATGCTCTGGGACGCAGGTAATCCAGTGGAGAGCACTCTCTGGCCACTTTTGCACCCCAGAAGGAGCCTCTACATTTCTGGTTCTCGCCTTGCACTCACTACATTTTGTGTCATATGTACAGCACAGCAACTCCCACGTATACTTGACCCTCCCACGTATACTTGGTGTGTTTGCATGATTGTTTGTAGACCATGAGAACCCATTGTCTTGGTCAACTCTGAACAACAGGGAATCAAATCTGGTTCTTCTCTTACAGTCCCCCTTTTCCCTCCTCACAGGTTTTCTTTTGAAATAKAATCAGTTCCTAAATTCTGAATCTGAACAGGAAGGCCCCACAGGTGGACCTACACCCTAAAAAGATGATAGCTTAAATTTAGGCTTCCTAAAATGAGGAATTCTTGACATCCCCCTCTCCCCCCCCCCTGCATATTCTGAGGTCATACAACTGAAGATTGAAAACAAATTCCATTTGTGAAGGAGAACACGGGATTAAATAGGAAATTGTTGGGCTGCGATGTAGCTCAGTGGCAGGGCCCAGCATGCTGCATGAGGACCCAGCTTCAGTCACTGGAACCACAAATGAGAAGTTGTCTTTGGCAGAACCAATTTAGAAGGAAATTTAGTAGAAAGAATCTAACTTGGATTACATTTTTAGACAATGAAAGTTCTAGTTCTCTATTCCCCTGGTTCACTAACTCATCAAAGTTTAAATTCTATTATTTAATAAATAATTGTGTTTCATTAAAATGTACCAGCCCTGCATGTTTTCCTGAAAATGAAACTGAGAGTGCTTGGTTCTGTGAAAATGGTACCTGGCTATCAATGGCTTATAGCCCTTAAAGTTTACATGCTTAAACCAAACAAAACGAGAGTAATGAATCGTTCCTTATTTTTTCTTTCTACTACTTCATTACATTGTCTTTCTTTTCTGTTTTCACCACTCCTTGCTCTTATTTCTCCACTTTCACCGCTAATAAAAGTGTATTTAGAAACACATCATGATGGCTTTCAATGAGTATCGTGTCTCTGGGATTAAAGAGTGCAGGATGTATCTTCACATATCAAGGAAACTAAGAAAACTAAGAGAAAAAAAGAGATTACAAAAAAAATCTCCAAAATGTGAAAATTGCCTTACCCTGTTACCCCTTCCTCTTTCACTTTGGGGCTATTCCTCAGAAGAGAAGTTAATCTTGGACACCAGCCTTAGATTCATGACAGGTGAGTCTCAGGCCAGTGTAGATTCTGAGTTGCAATCTGTCTGGTCCTCAGTTGCTGTATGAATTGTATTTAACTTTTCCAAGATCAGATTTGAAAAATCTGTGTTCATTAAAAAAAAAAAAAATCCTTTGGGTAAGGTCCACACCCCCAGGGTGTGCATCCTTGACACGGAGCAGGAAATTAACAGATTGATCCTCTTCATCTTCTGTGCCTCCTTTCAACGTAGATAAGTTTCAGAAGCAGTTCACAGACCTGTTCTGAATAGGCCTTGCTTCTGACTTAGAAAGATGCCCAAGCCCTCTCCTGGCCTTTGCATCCTGCCTGGGGAAAGCATGAGAACAAAAGCCCTGGGCAAGGGTCTGAGTGAGGAAGAAGGCACAGGCCATTCATCAGTAACCCCTACCTCTGCACATTCCTGCCAGGGAATAAGAAAATAAGATTCTGCTGCTGCCTTTACTTTACGGAATTTATTCCCTGAGTGGGGTAGCAAAGACCAATGAGAGAAAGGTATTTAAAAACACACACACGGTAGTATATTCTGAATGTCAAATAGGACAGAGAGGATAAGCCTTCTCTAGAGAAAGAAAACAGGGTGGGGGCTGGTGGGCTTGGGCCAGGCTCTGCAGAAGAGGGGCCTGAGCCAGGCCAGTGTGGGTTACCCCAGCTCCACTGTCCACTGGGGGAGGTTTCAGGAGAGGCCTGGGACTTTGGAATGCAGACAAACAAAGGGGCATATCTAGGGCCAGAGTCATGTTTTACAAATCAAAGCCAGTATGCGGGAATTGGGGAACTGCATTCAGGTGAGAAAGGGGTGTGGGGTGAGGGGCTGCTTACACCTATACCTAGGATCCTTACCTTAGATCCATTGGCCTGCCTCACTTTTTTTTTTTTTTTTTCACACCAGAGGGGCAATGGGCCAAAGTCACAACCAGGCTCCAGAGAGGTCTCTCTCCCACAATAGCATGAGGACCCAATCATCAGGCTCGAGGACCACAGCAGGAGCCCACATCTGTGTTCCGCCCCACCTCCATTGCTGTCGCATCTATATTTGGCTGGCCTTAAAAACAAACAAACAACMAAAAAAGATAACAGCAAAACCCCTACTCCTCTCGAAGTCTATGTGGCTTTCCTTTCAAACAAGGAAGTTGGAGCGTTAGCAGAGATTCCTAAAGGAGAGTGAAGAAAAACTCTCCTCTCCCATCTCTCACTCTCTGCCCAGCAGGAGTGTTTTAAAACACGCCCCTCCCCGGGCCCATCTCCTCCACCCCCAGCTGCCAGCCTTCCATCTCTGTAATCTCTCCTCCGCACTGAAAGCTGCCCCTTTTTGTGWGCCTCCTACCGACGACTGCTTATCCTCCCAGGGCTTTTACCGGGGAGCGCTCTGTAAGCAATCAGCCTCTTATCTGCGTCTGCCTTCAGTCCCATCACTCCAGCCACCTCTTAATGTTCACAAGTTCCCCAAATGGGAAGTAATTGACCTCTAAACAAAACAAAAAAGCTCTCAGAGAGATAGCAGAGGTTCCTTTCCTGGCTGTCCCAGGGCTAGGGGTTCTCACCTAGGCCAGGTGGATAAGTCAATAAATCTGCAGACTTCCTGGCTCCCTGTCCTTCCTCTCTGGCCCCAGCCCCCCTGCAAACCAGTTCCTCTGATCCCATCTGCAAATCGGGTGGAGGACGAGTCTACCCAGCTCACAGAGTTGCCTGGGGTGTGGGTATTTCTTTTATAATGTTATCATTATTATGATTAAGCATACGATTTAGGGAGCATATTCAAATCTTTTGGAAATTCCATTTGAAAATAATTTATGATGCTCGCTATATATATATTTTTTCCTATCCACATGCCTCCTCCCTTCCCCTCCCCTTTGCCCAATTCAAAATTCCTCCACTCATCCCATGCCCCACCCCCATTATAGATTGGTATCCACTTATCAGAGTAAACAATCAGCCTTTGATTTGGGGGAATTGTCTAACTTTTAGCAGATATTCTGCAACTCCATCCATTTACCTGCAAATGCCATAATTTTATTCTCTTATTGCTGTGATGCTCGGTGTTTATGCCAACTCTATTATTATCAGCTCCCCAACTAGCCCCTTTTCTTTTTTACAAAACAAGAGAACTCCCAGGAGTAAAGGCTGTGTTCCTTCCTCCTCTTCCCCTGAAGAAGCAGTCTTACAAAAGAGATACTGGTGGCAGTTTTGGAGTTGTCCCAGTTCAACCAGAAACATGCTCTGTGACCTTGAATCAGCTTCCTAACCTCTCTGGGCTTGCCTCCGCATCTATAAAATTGAGGATCTTTGAGACTATTATTCTGACTTGAAGTGGCTCACTCTTGATGTCACATGCCCTAATCATATATCCAAAAGAGTACACAAACATTGATCTACAGCCTGGAGAACAGCTGTAAAGTGAACACAGATGGGATTTCCATGCAAAGCAAGAAATGGGCTCCCATCTTCCCAGCTGCTCTTCTCCACACACACACCCAGAATGAACCCCCTTTCCCTCTCCTTTCCCAGAGGAGGTATCARCTGTTCTGACTTCTGAGATGATCATTTTCAGGCTTCTCTTTATAGATGTACTCATACAGACACACCCCTTAGCAACATGATTCGATTTTACCTGGTTTCAAATGTTACCTGCACATATTCTTTTGTGATTTGCTTCCTTCCTTCAATTGATCTTTGGGGAATTTCTCCACACCGTTGTGTGTAGCTTTCATTGTGAGCTGGTTTTCATTGCAGATTCTATGGCATGAAATGCCTGTACGTCAATGTACATGTTATCTGAAAATGTAGTTGGTGCCCTTTCTCAGAGGGCAGCTGTGCCACAGCTGGAATTTGTCCTGGGCTCTTTTGCTATTTCTTCAGCCTTGCAGTGGTATCCCGGACCCTGGCAACCGCTGCAGTTTCACTCGGGACTCACCACCTCCATCGGAGCAGAGTAGTTGGCCCTCTGATCCAGTCAAGTGTGTGTGTGTGTGTGTGTGTGTGTGTGTGTTTTAATTCAGAAAGTACCAAAAAGCAAAACTTGAATTTGCCTCACCTTGAGTCCTCCGCTGAACCCCTGAGAATGAAGGATGTGTGGGCATGAAGTGGGTCGAGTCCGAGGAGAGTTAAAGCACATGGGAGGTGTGTACAGGTCAAGCGCTCCAGCCCCTGGGACTTGAGCATCAGAGGATCCTGATATCCAAAGTGGGAGGATGTCCTGCAACCAATCCCCTGAGGATACCGGGGACAGCAAGATGCCTTGCATCCA